TCATGAGCCAGCCTCAGCATGCCATAAGGGCACGGTAAGACTTCTAGCCAATGTGATATAAAGGGAGTGAAGTGTGTCTGTCACACAGAGATGTCTGTGGCATCCCACAAGTGACATAAAGTCCCTCCTTTTAAGAAACTCAGTGTACGTTCTCTTTTCCCTACTAAACTAACTGAAGAGGCTACACGTTCAACATTATGGTGCTGCCTCCATAAGCTTGGGTTCCTGGGCGACTGTGTGAAGTAGAAAGTCAACCCCCACAGGACTTGTAACATTGGGGACGGGATTAACATTCTTGTATTAAGCCAGTGAGAATTCTTCCTTGTACAAAATGTGAAGCCTGTCCTGTTATAAATTATGAATTAAAATGTGGTGGATAGAGCTGGCTTTCATTTCTCTCTCCTAAAGAGTTTCAATGTTTTTATAGAATAATAAATAAGCCCAAATAAAAAGAAATACTTCATGTGTAACTGCATTAATAGAAAGTATAGATACAAAGTATACATGTTTAAGAATAACTAATTTAATTTTATCATTCACATGTCAGAAACTGTTTAAGCACTTTACCAACATCTAATTTAATCATGGCAATAATAAAGTAGGTGTTATGCTTCTCAGTCTTAGGGAAGTTAAATTAATTCCTTCAAGGTCAAAAAGATATTAAGTAGTGGATCTTGAATTAAAATAGATGCCAAAGTCTTTTCATAGTATTTGCTCTTAAATGGCATACCATTCTTTACAAATTAGAGAACATGATGGTTTCAATCAAATATTTATGAGAACTTACTGTGGGCTAGGCATTGTGCCAGACTCAAAGACATAATAATGCCAGCTAGATTTAAGTACTATCATTTTATTAGGCATTATATGTTTACAGAAGTGTGATATAAAGTGGGAAATGTACTCAATGCATAGAATAAATTCTACTTAAATATATGTACATACACACATACATTTATACGCACACACATGTACAGATATCTTTTTAAAAAAAAACGGAAACATTCCATTTGGTTGATACTCTGATATTGGCAGACCAAAATAACTAGGGTATTTTCTAGGAAAAAAAATCTATAAAGCATTCCATTGACCCAAAACACTGAATTAATGCGACACCTAAGCCATTTAAATAGCACACCTGGTGTAGTCTTCAGGCTTATTCCAAAGAGTCACCAGGTGAGAATAATTGGAGGCTAGCACACTATTCTTCTTGGGTGGTCCTTTTGTAAACTTGAAGTTTATTTCATTATGATGCGCAAACAAGCTTAGGCCACTTGAGCATGGTTTTTAAAATAGCCTTATCCTTAGAAAATGTATTAGTAGGCTCTGGCAACCAACATAGCTATCTAAAACCAAAATATTTCTCCTAGTCTCAGAATCTCAATGTAATCATGTGGTTGGGTACACTCCCTTCTCTACTTGGGAGATTATCTAAGGACAGTTTATCCAAATTGACTTAATAGAAAGCTACCCCCGGGGATGTGTTAAGTTACATGATCACACTGATAATCCTAGACTAATAGAAACAGTTTGTATCCCCTAAACCCAGTGGGTGCTGACAACTTTAATGTCTTCGCAGGGAGTTTCCCGTCAAGAGCCGAAGACAAAATTTGGCCTGAGAGTTGCGTGGTTATGTTCAAATACTCTCTATATAGATACAGCTCCCTGAGTGGAAAAATGCATATTGCTTCTGAAAAATAAGATCCAGGATTTGTAGCTTCTGTACAAATGAGAACTGAGGGACACACAACAACCTTCTCGTCTGTTTGTAATGAAACCTTACATTCTCTTCGGTTACCTCTTTTTAACATGCATTTATCTGCATCAGAAGTGACGTGACACATTTGGGTGATTTACATGATCTATACAGGTAAGTGGACTCATTGCCTCTGTTTAGTAAAAGTGTCCTAATAAGTTACAGAAAAGCAATTACCCGGATTTCAGAGGGAAACCACAGAAGGAAAAAAATCCCAGCCACTCTCAGAGCATTTTAAATCATGGAAAAATTAAAGTATGCTGTGCCAGCACATCAACTGTCAGCTAACTAAATCAACTATTTCTCCTGCTTCCTTGGATATCATCGGAATAAACGTATTAATTTGTATTCATGAACATTTATAAGTTCTTTCCCAGGCACTGTGGCATATATTAGTATACTAGTGACAACACCTGGCCTACAGTAAAAAAGGGAGAAAAAAAATCTGTACAGAAATAAATATGATAGCAAGGGGAAAATAATCCAAAAGGGAGGTAAAGAAAATTTGCAGTAGAAAGGTAGAGGAAAAAAAGCATTTTCGATAGAAAAAGTCAGAAAAGGCTTGATGAAAGTTTTGCCATTTGAGCTTTAGGGTATAGTTGTAAGTCAGACTGAAAGGAAGGGTATTCTAGGAGAAGGAACAGCTTAAGCGAAAACATAGGTCAAAAGAATGTGGTAGGAGAGAGGGTCAGAGACAGTAGAAATTTATATTTGCTAGAGTGGAAAGGCAAGTGATGGAAGAGAACTGAAAAGATTGTTTGGCGCTCATTTGATGGTCACTGAATACCATGCATACTAAGGTCAAATAGTGGATAGAGTGTTCTCCACACTTGGGATAAAAACTGTTATGGGCAACATTCAAAAACCACTATTAATTCTACTGATACAGCAGACATTTCCCAGATAGCAGAGTGTAGGGAGATAGCACCAGGATATGCCACCTCATCTTAGACATTTCTCTTCTTGAGAAAGCACTCATGTAAAGCATTATCATTCATTAGCCACCAGAAAGGGAGACCCAAAGTCAGCAGTAATATTTATGTCAGTAGTTTCAGTTCAGTTTCCTTCACATCAAACCGATACATCATTTTGGTATTTCATATAGGAGCAAATATGTTTATTATCATTCAGTTGCACTGTAATGCTTACCCTTTGTTTAGTTACCACTAATTGTATTCTAGAATAGAAATGGTGTAACATCAGAACCAGAGTCCTTTTTGGTGAGACTAGAGATAAATTTAAGATCATATCATCATAGATACTGTCTTTTTATTGTTCTCTTAATTATAGGAGACTGAACTTAGAGACTTGTCTAAACAGAGTTCCCATCGCCCCATCATCACCTTCATTGTCTCCCTCTTCACTCACAAACGAATCCTCAGTGCTTCTCCATTATAATGATCAATTAAAATGTGCTTAATTCCCATTAAGTAGCAGGAAACATGGCCAAACATCAACACCCAGTAAATGTTTAATGAATGAATGACTGAACAAGCAGGTGTGGCAGTCACGAGGTAAAACAACAGACATGCCACATCCCTCTTCTAGGCAAGAGTTCAATGGAGGAAATACCACTGGGAGCAACCCAATGCACCAAATACTTCACAATACGTTGCTAATAATACAGAAGAATGGCGTCACTTGGACACACTTCACAATCAGTGACTTAATGTTCTATTCAGAAAGCAACAGCGAGTTGCCTTAGGAGACTTGCTAGCCTGGGACACTGCTGAGGTCATGGTTAGAATGTTGGAGGGAAAAAGAGACTCAAAACTTCTTATACTCCTTCCTATTGTGAGCCCCAGAAGTCACACTCAACACTCGTCATATTTTGGGCAAGTTGGTCAGAATGACGATCACATCAAATGTGGCCACGTTTATATAAAATACAGTAGCAAATCACAGGCTGAGAGTTCTGTGAATAAAGCACTGATATTCTAAGGTCTGAATGGAGTTACAATGGCAACTTTCATCCTTTATACTGGGAAGGTTCATATAGGTATTCTTTATAAATCAAAACTTGGTACTTCTAATTTCTACGGCATAACATCTCCCCATACTTTATAGTATATAAAGTTCTATAATTTGAATCACGAGCCCATTCATCCCATGTTTTATGTAGGGAAGCCGAGACAACAAAAGAGTAAATGATGCAAGGGGTATCTGCATTTGAGTTGTTCCAGAAGGATCCTAGAACCAGTTGTTTATTTGGGAGGTGCAAAGGATGCAAAGAGAGGAGGAAAAGTGACACAGGAAAAGGAATGCAGCCAATTAAGGGTGTGCTTTTAAACCCTGCTCCCATTGTGGACAACTGGAGTTTATTCCAGCAGGGGCTAAACACGGTTCCTTAGGGGGTTAATTCTCCAGAACAGCCTTTGCTTGTTCTGGAAAGAAAACCTCTCAGACACAGAAATGCAGATACAAGAGTTGGCAGTCAGCCAGGGCACGATGAAAAGTCTGGGAAACACCGGCAGGTGACTCAGTGGGTCACACATGCAATTTGCAGCTAAACTCTGTCTGAGATCTAAAGAATCCTGCATTTGGGGTGTATGCTCTTTCCTCCATATTGCCAAAATACAGTGCTTTCGTAGAGTGACCATACACGATTTAATGTAAATCTAAGCTACAAATACCATTTTGTGTTCAAGTGAAAATGGATGTACAGCCGCCAAATTATAACAGCCAACAGTGCTTCAGGGTTTAACTTTGTAACAGGAACTATGCCAAATGTTTCCTTTGTAGCATCTTAATTTAATCCTCAGCACAATTCTATAAAGCAAAGGACTATGCTTGCCATCCCTATATTACAGAGGCGGAGAGCCAGGCACGGAGAAGTTATACTCCCGAGGCAATGTGGCTTTCAAGTGGTGGTGTTCAGATTCCAACCCAGTTCCTCCCTCACCAGAGCCGAGGTCCCTAATGATTCTTCTTTACTAGCTCCATCTCTGATTGTTCTAGAGACAGAGCGTGGATAACGCAGCCAATCTACAGATCTGATGATAGGAAAACTCCCTGAGAACTTTTCAGTGTATTTCGTGGTGGTATAGATGCCTTTCACAGTCTTCACAACAATGCTATCAAATGCACGCGATCAAGAGATCTACAAATGCACTGTGTATTTGCGTCTTAGGAAAAGCACCCTCCACGATTGCAAAAGAAGATATAAGTAAACCATTGTACACACTTTATAGGACATGCCAACATCAAAATAAAATAATAAACAGACATTGTAAAATAACAGTACCTTCACTGTCCACATTCCAGCCTCTGGCTCCTTAATGTTCACCACCTTGGCAGAGTTATGGATATTTAATAGCTCATTCAGGCCAAATCCCTTTTTAATCAGCTTCCCTGAAAGACACACATACAGGTAACAAGCATAATCTTTCTTCGGGCTATGTACATTAGCTGTATACATTTCCACTATGAATGGCCCAATGGACATTTGTGTCTAGAGCTCAAGACAGTATTTTATTGATATCTAAAAATAGGTCATTGTAGGATTTCTTGTCCTTGGACCTGAAGTAGGGTTTCCATTTGCTCTGCTGATTTGATCTTAAAATGAGGATGCCAACGGGCAGACTATAATCATAATTCCAAAGCCATCCTAGATAAAAATTATTGTGGCTACTGAAAAGTTATGTGCAGTCACTTAGAGACATTTAGATTTAAAAGATGACAAAACAGTAAAACAGGATAACCGTCTTTTTTGGAGATCACTCAAGGTATAATAGTATATCATGAGAGCCATGGGTATATCTTTGCACAAATTGCAAAACCTTTAATCAGTTGTCCATGAAACACAGGAGAAGGCTTTTATTGTCATAGGAATAATTAAAGGAGGCAGTGCAACGAAGTAGCATGATACCATCTCCTATCAACCTGAGATTTATCTGAAGTATCTAACAGCTGGCATTTAGAAAGGAAGAAAAGCATATTTGGAATGAAGCCATAGTTTACGCATTCACTAGACTCTTGGCTCCCTATGGACTACTTTTGCAGTTGTACAAACAAGTCAATTATAAGAATCCTATGTTCACATCCAAAGCTCTATTATCATCGTAAATTACTTCTTAAATGGCTTTTGAAAGTAGTAGCAACGTCATGCATTGGGTAGAGGGACTTTAAAGTATCCAGGTGGTGAAAAACACCAACCTTTCCTGGGGAGCATGGATGCTGTTAGAGTAGACTGCTACCTCAAGAGACAAATCAATTGATAAGGCCACACCTGCAGAAGTCTTGAAAAAGAGGTTTTGCTTGTTTTGTAAATTTCAATTTGATTGCTGGTGTGGATCTGGCCCTTGAGGACAATTTCATATGTTGTTTTCTTTTAGGTATCAGTTATTTTTTAAAGCTCAAATAAAGTAAGAAAGCTAGTTAGTCCCTCCTCATTTATAAATAGTCACACATGGGTTAAAACTGTATCATGTACTAAAGCCACAATGGAAATAAAAATGTTTTATAAATATCAACAGGTAAAAGTATTTCTAAATGCAAATTACTAGGAAAAATAAGGTTTCTGTCTTCACTAGATTACTTTTCAATGTAAGTCTTATTGTGATATTCAACCAGAAATGGAATAAGACTAAATCTTAGGGTTTTAATATGTAATTAAGTGAGGATGCAAAGTAAATTAAAACATTATTCTAATAAGATGATAAACTTGTTTTGTAACAACTGTCTTCTGTAAAATTAAACCTTATGAAGAAGATGATACAGTAAAATATTACAGTTGTTTTAAAAAGGAATTTTTTCATGTTATTCTTTTAAAAATAACAAAATACTGAATTTTACACAATAAGTTACTGTGAAATATTTCTTTATACATATATTTGGAAAATATAATTTCGTTCAATTTAAATATTTTGGGGGGATAGTTTAGTACAAATAAGTTACTAAATCTCATCTATTTAAATTATTAGGAGTCTTAGCTTTTTGAATCCCATGTTAATTCAACAATGCTTATGACTACAAACATTACTTTTATTTTTTAAACATATTGCCTGGTCATTTTTGAATTCATTTATAGAGTTAGCATGAACTGGGCATGAATAAGTGTGGAAAAACTGTTTTACCTCTCATAGCTTTTGTATTTTATTATATGATGTTCGGTATAGTCTCACCTAAAGGATTGCGAATTTCAATCACTGGAGAAGGACCACTCAGGGACACAGTAACCTCTTTTAGGCTGGGGTCGAAAGGAATTTTCCATATGTTTACAGCCTGTTCCAAATGATCCGTTGATAAGAGGTGAACTTTGGAGGCCTGCACTGCTTCTTCTACCCATTTTAACACCTGTAAGACAAAGGAAGAGTGAGTGACGTCAGAAACCTTGACTGTTTTATACCACAGTGACTTCCAGAGGTAGGAACTGGCTTTGGTTTATCACATAACCCAGGCACTTCCTGTACTGCTGTGAAGTTCATTTCCATTACAATGAAGTCTAAGTGTTTCCTACATCCAGTTATGGTAGTAGATTCAGAGTAAAATGCTAGCTTAACCCATGCTCAAGTTTCAAGTTTTCTATCTTGGAATAATATATTCAAAATGAGATCATAGTGTCCAAACGCCAGTTAAGTCAAACATGCAGAAACACTCATATTACAGACAGTTTTATATTTTTCAGGAGAAAGGAAAAAAACTGTAAAAAACATGGCATTGCCAATATTATGAGATCCCTTTTCCCTCCATTCTTCCTGCATTTCTTTCAAGCTCCAATTTATAAAAAATAATTAGCAAATTATCAAATACAATTTCAATATATTGGGTATATAAATGATTGTCATGTAGTATATTGTAATTATATATTGGATATTGTATTATATAGTACTATATTATTGAAGAAACCACTTCAATGCCAGCAAAATACTCACTATTGTATAAAATAAACAAGTACCAAAAATAATAGAAAAAGTAACCATTGTATTCTAGAAACATAGAAAAAACACTTCCAGTTAGAACCAACTTAAGTAGTGCATTCTTGAAAGTAGTCTTTTGGAAAATATTAAGAAATTAGTTTATAAAAGGGTGTTAATGCCTCACTATGAACAAGGAAAACTCAGTTCAACAAACACAATTCCTCATTCAATAAATAGTGCATGTCTGAACAGGTATTGCTTAGCTGAGCTTATTACAATTCACTCTATATCGTGATAATCTTTCATCTACCTCAGAACTTTCTCTGGTTTATATATCCTTTGAGAATATATCCTGTGAACAATGTCCCTTGAAATTACACATAAAACACTGAACAGAGCTAGATATTGAGCTACCACCAAGCTATTCAAAATAAACAAAACTATTTTTTACATTTCAGTGTGGTAGTCAGAAATCAATTAATCAAACAACAAAATCTGTGTAATGACTTCATACTCTATAAAAAGCACTCCTTTTTTCTATCCTCAAGGATGAGGAAACTAACAATGTAAGACAATTATGTTCATTCAGAAAACAAATGTTTATTGTTCAAGGTGCTCTTCCTGGTACTGTGTAAGTATTGATGAGCTTTTTTTTCAGCTGAGCCATCCTGCCACCTGTTGGCAGCTCAGCGGTAGCTCAGCTCGGGCCAGGAATCAAACCGGAGACCCTGTTGCTCAGTGCTCACACTCTTGAGCGAGCTCTTAACCAACTGAGCCACTTGGCCGTCCCTTGATGAGCATCTTTTTAATCAATATTTGGTAACAATAATTCTTCTCTGAATAGCAATATTTACTGAATTTTTTGCACATATCCTACATTATTTATTTTTAATAAATCTTCCTGCCTTTCTTCCAGGGTCAAGAACCATATCTCCTTCATCTTTGTATACTCAAAACCAAGCGGCAGGCTTACCCATGATAAAGGTGAGATATATACTAATGTCTCTGAAGTTATCATAAGAACGATAATAATTATGTCTTCTTAAATAAAAGAATGGCATGGGGTTTCATGAAACGAGGAGCCCATGTTGAAAGAAGGTGCCCAGCCCAGTACTTGCCACATAGTAGATATTCAAACGTTTTCTTCCCTTTCCAACTAAATTCCCTCCTCTTCCCCTAACTGAACATTTCAACAATAGCTTCAAAGGCAGAGTGAAAAAAACTCATCCATGAAAGTCAGATAAGATTTCTGTAAATAAAAAAGAGAGGCGAAGTCATTCTAGGTGGAAGAGAGGGCTTGAGAAAATACATCTCCAAATATGTTGGGAACATGACTGAATCCAACTGGCTACAGTTAAGTGTTCAGAAAAAGGAGAAGTAGGAGATGACGTTAGAAGCTTCTGCCGAGGACAGACTATGTATGGCCACACAGTCAGGCTATGACATTAGGATTTTATTCTAAAGACTAGTGAAAAATTACTGAGGGGATTAAGCAGAGGAGTAGTGCAATAAAAGTGGTATTAAAAAAAATTGCAGTGGTATCATTAACAAACTTAACAGAAAAACCAAATCTGTGAATTACAGTTAATTACCCCATAAATCAAATGATATATTTCCTCAGATTTTAACATTGTAAAGCACCTGGAATTTTACATGTGAAATAAAGCATATATCAACATAATTGTCTAAAGAAACAGATGCCATATTTTAAAGGACTTCTGAGTGATAGATCATGCTTGAACCAAAACGTATGGCTCATCAAATCTGTCCATATGGCTACAGAAATCAGACTTGGTGTAACTAATATTTGACCATAAATTGAACATGTATTTTAATAATCAGACTGTTGACATTTTTATGTCTTATACATAGAGCATGCCTGCCTAACTCAAGGAAATGGAAGGATTGACTTATTGTCTGAGAAAGCATTTGATAAATTTGACTGATAATAAATAACTTTGAGGGTAATATCTGCTGTAGAGACTAAAGAAGGCAAAGGACAAGAGAAATTGGACAAATGGACAGAACATTTGTTTTAAGGGTAAGATGCATAATGTGGGAATAAATAATTCTCAACTGTAAAGGAGAAAAATAATTAGAAAACAAGAATTGTATAGTATCTCAGCTTTAACAATGAAATTCAATAGTATTAGGTAGAAATGGAAGTAAAATCATTTTTATCACCCTTCTTTAAAAGTATAATATATCTCGGGGTGCCTTCTCAAATATATCTTGCCTTAAAGCCCAAGGTAAAGAAGTTGTGATATCATCACTGGAAGTCTATTCTGCTGTCTATTAGCAATGCATGGAAATCACTAAAGCTAGACAATTTTATGAAAATGGAAGACTTTCTAATTTAGTTGCATTTTCATTAGGCAAGTATGATCAAATTGTATAGACTATAAGCAGGCTTTGATTTGTTCTTAATACCATTTCCAATTCATCAACATTTATGAGGCTTTCACAAAGGGATTACCATGTATTATAATATTACTTGTTGGGAAAGATACAGAACAGATTTCTGTCAAGACTCAAATCACTATTTTATCCACTTATACGAAAAAACAAATTGAAAACAGATGCAACCCGTTTTATTAGAAAATACAGATACTGCCAATATGTGACTAAAACTAGATCACCGCAAACTACAGAACGACCGTGAGGTTTTTGGTCTCTCATGTTGCCACATATAAGAAGAAAAAAAACAAACCTTTAATTGTCTAACTATGAGAAATGTTCTCATAAGATTGGAAATGATCTATTATAATGTCAAATGGAATAAAACTAGAACAAAGTGAGAGTCTTTGGATTGGTCTATTTTAACTAACATAAGAACTGTTTCAAACGACTAGGGAACCATTAATTGTACATTAAAAGTTTTAATATAAAAGTGGTGCCCTGATGATTTGTAGCAGTTTGTATTTCAAAGGGCACTGAGACAATCTAACTCAGCTTCCTCGTTCTATGGATCAGGAAACTGATATTTGAAAGAGTTCTTGTACCTTTTAAACATTTAATCTGACTAATTTTGGCTCAATACTTATTTTTTACATAAGCTTCTGTGTTCCTAAAGATATTCTCTTATTTTAAATATTTTGCATCCTATGTAATAATCAATACTTAAAAATAAGATCATATGTATATTCCACTCTGGAATGAGATGAAAATATTGTTTCCAACTACAAAAGCATTAAATACATTATTACATAAAAATACATTATGTATTATAAAATAGAATAGTATTAAATAGAAATGAAAGTGAATTGTACACTTGAAACCTATATAATTTTACTAACCACTGTCACCCCCCAATAAATTTAATAAAAATTAAAAACGTATAACTAAAAAAAGAAAAAAAAAGAAATGGAAGTCAATTTTTGAAGGTGACAGAACCTGGAAGAACAGCTTTGTTTGGAAGAACATTTTTTTTTTAATTGAGAAGTAATTGACATATAACGTATTAGTTTGTTATATGAAATGATTCGATAACTCTATATATTGCAAAATTATCACCACTATAAGTCTAGTTAACATCTACCCAAGACATGAAAACAACTAAAGTGTCCTTTGATAGGTGATTAGATAAAGAAATTGTGTACATATATACAATGGAATATTACTCTGCCATAAGAAAAGATGAAATAGTGCCACTTGGGCAACATAGATGGATCTTGAGATTATCATGCTAAGCAAAATAAGTCAGACAGAAAAAGTCGAGAATCACATAATTTCTCTCATATGTGGGATATAAAACTGAAAGTAACAAACGAACAAGACAAACAAACAAACAAAAACTCATAGACACAGACAACAGTATAATGGTTACTAGAAGGAAAGTAGGGAGGGAGAGAGGTAGAAAAGGGTAAAGGGGGTCAAATACATGCTGATGGAAGGAGATATGACTTTGGGTGGTGAACACGCAACACAATAGACAGATGATGTTCTACAGAATTATACACTTGAAACCTACATAATTTTATTAACCAATGTTACCCCAATAAATTTAATAAGAAAAAAAACATGAGAGTGCATATATATTTTTGAGTTCGTGTTTTTGTTTTCTTTGGCTAAATACCCAGAAGTGGAATTGCTGGATCATTTGGTACTTCTGTTTTCAATTTTCTGAGGAATACTGTCTTCCATAGAGGTTGTACCAACTTACCTTCCCATCATAAGGGCTCCCTCTTCTGCACATCCTTGCCAACACTTGTTATTTCTTGTCTTTTTTTATAATAACTCATCTAACAGGTATGAGGTGATATTTCATTGTAGTTTTGATTTGTGTTTTCCTGATGGTTAGTGATGTTGAGCACATTTTCATGTACCTTTGGGCCAACTATATGTCTTCAGGAAAATGTCTATTCAGATCCTCTGCCCAATTTTTAATCATTTGTTTGTTTGCTATGGAGTTGTATGAATTCTTTATATATTTTGGAT